GTATGAACTAGCATAGTTTAGTAGTAGAAAGTCTGCCACAAAAAGCTGCACAAACAGAGAAAAGGCTTGACAGCTATCTGGTATACAATTGATTTATATTTGCTTATCGCTTTACTTTAAAATAAATAATAACACCTAAGATTTAGTTACACTTTCCAGCTCCTCCTCTGGAAGGAGTTAAACTTTCCTCATCTAGACATTATAATATTTAACGACAACGTGAAATATATATTCTGTCATGTAATGTTTAGCAGTGTTCAGCCTACAACCAAACTTTACAAATTATCCAGTGGTGACCCTTCCATCCTTGAAAAAGTATTAGCAGTACAATCCTAGACATTTCTACTCAGGAGTAAGTTCCACTGAATTCTGTGGAAGCCTGATAAAAGGATTGCAGCCTAAATGTGCAGATAGCATCTAAGCTACCCGGCTAGGCAACACATTTCAACAGAGAAAAGCAAAGAACATTTAATGCATTTCATTTGTCTTCCCAGCTGAAGAGTGAAACTGTGTTCTCTGCAAATTAAAGCAATAGCAGATAAAAAAGCTGAAATTTCATTGTATCATTGTATCTTGCCTAAGAGGTTTAAAATGTTTGGTTTTGTTTCCCAGAGCTTCTTGTTATGCTATTTCTGGTTGGGTTCCTGTTGCCTCAACCATGTAAATGTGTTGTTAGAGGTGAAGGCAATGGCGATTGTTAAAAGATAGAGCTGGCTGGAAAATGATTGGGGGGGGGGGCACATGCGGATGGTAATATGCAAATGGAGATGATGCAATATAGAAAGGGAGTGGTGAGGACAAGCAACACACATACACATCCTTGCTGCCAGACATTTGACAAACTGGCTGCACAAAGCCAGGAGCCTTCTCCTCCTGTTGCCTCTGTGAGCACATGAAAAGTAAAACAGCTTGCTTAACAAGGTGGTTAGCATTGGGCATCATGATAATCTACCCCAGTGTTTCTCAACCTTCCTAATGCCGCAACTCCTTAATACAATTCCTCATGTTGTGGTGATTCCCAATCATAAAATTATTTTCATTGCTACTTCATAACTGTAATTTTGCTACTGGTATGAATTGCAATGTAAATATCTGATATGCAAGATGTATTTTCATTCACTGGACCAAATTTGGCACAAATACTCAATATGCCCAAACCTAAATACTGGTGGGGTTGGGGGGGATTGATTTTGTCTTTTGGGAGTTGTAGTTGCTGAGATTTATAGTTAACCTACAATCAGAGCACTCTGAACTCCACCAATAATGGAATTGAACCAAACTTGGCACACAGAACTCCCATGACCAACAGAAAATACTGGAAGGGTTTGATGGGCATTGACCTTGAATTTTGGAGTTGTAGTTCACCTACATCCAGGGAGCACTGTGGACTCAAACAATGATGGATATGAACCAAACTTGGCATGAATTCTCAATATGCCCAAATGTGAACACTGGTGGAGTTTGGGGAAAATAGACCTTGATATTTGGGAGTTGTAGTTGCTGGGATTTATAGTTCACCTACAATCAAAGAACCCCACCAATGATAGAATTGCGTCAAACTTTCCACACAGAACCCCCATGACCAACAGAAAATACTGTGTTTCTCGATGGTCATTGGTGACCCCTCTGACACACCTCACTACCCCCCCCCCCGGTGTCCCCACCCCCAGCTTGAGAAATGCTGATTAGCCCCTGTTTTGTTTCTTTGATTAGAATGATGCCAGCGGTAATGCTGTTAAATAATTAATCTTAACTTTGATTTATTTTTCATAGAAGACTTTTCAGTTTTTCTCTGTCAACATCTTTAGCTTGGTAAGTTGTGATTTGAATGATTAGTGGCAAATAAATAGCAATAATAGTATTCCTGTGCTCTTGTCTCAAGGATACATTTGGCTGCCATGGGTATTTGTTGGCATTCTAGGCTTGATATTTAAGACAGAATCACATAATACTCTACTCCAGACACCCCCCGCCTGGGATTCTTTAGTGCCAGGCTAGGGCACCTCAAGGTGCAGCCCATCCAATCCCATTCTGCCATTCACACAATCAAAACACTCCTGACAGGTGGTAACCCAGCCTCTATTTAAAAACCTCCAAGGAGACTCCTCCACCCTCTGAGGCAGCATATTCCACTGTCAAATAGCTTTTACCATCAGGATGTTCTTCTGAAGATTTAGGTTGAATGTCTTTTACTACAGTTGGAATCCATTGATCCATGTCTTGGTCTCTAGAGTAGTAGAAAGTAAACTTCTTTTTTTCTTAATATGACATCCTTTCAAAAATTTAAAAACAACTATCATATTCCCTCTTGTCAAGCTAAAAATATCCAGCTCATTAAGCTGGTCCTCATAGGGCTTGGCTTCCAGATCTTTGATCATTTTGGTTACCCTTCTCTGGACTCATTCTAGCTTATCAATGTCATTTTTGAATTGTGGTGCCTAGAACAGGACACGTTATTTTAGGTCAGGTCTGACCAAAGCAAAATAGAGTTTGATGACATCCCTTGACATGCTCCTATTGATGCAGCCCAGAATCACATTTTTTAACTGACACCACTACACAGATGACTCATGTTCAGCTTGTGGTCTACTGAGACTCATACATGCCTTTGACATGTATTGTTTACATGCCAGGTGTCATCTATCTCTGTGTTCATTTTGCCTAAGTACTGTACATTTCTCCCTGTTGGAATTCATTTTTCTGGTTTGGGCTGAGCTCTCTAGTCTGTTGAGGTCATTTTGGATTCTGATCTTGTCCTCCTAATTTAATGTCATTTGCAAATTTGAAAAGCTTGCCTTGTATTCCATCATCCAAGTTAGTGATAAGGATGTTGAACAGCACTGAGCCCATACAGAACCTTGTGGCATTCCACTGGTCACCTCTCTCCAGGATGAAGAGGAGCCATTGGTAAACACCCCTTGGGTTTGGCTAGTTAACGAATTCCTAATCCACCCAACAAAGTCCCACTGTCTTTGTGAGAATCGATTTCTATTAATTCCAGCCAGTATGGACAATGGTTAAGGAGAGTTAGAGCTTTAGTTAAACATTTCTGTATGACAGAGGTTGAGAAAGTCTGCAACTGTATGATAGCACAAGTCTTGCTTGAAGCTTAGCAGCCAGGAAATACAAAAATGGCTACTGTCAACAAAGACACAAAACAGTTTGTTCAATTCAAGACACAAAATGGTGTTTGATAAATAGCCTTGCCTTTTTTGGATTAAACAATGATATATCAATACTCTTTATATGCTGACCCAAAAGGGCACAGTTGATACTACTTAGAATATTACAAACCCTCTGCCATATGCGTGTTGTCTCACCTAGACTTCAACCTTATCACTTTTCAACAGATTGTTTTAGACAACAGATCTCATGGGCAGGAAATCTGCAATGCATATAAGCTTCCTTGCTCATTTAATACAAAGGAGTCCTAGACATTGACCTTGTCTCTGGAATCTAGCTTGGCAGGGATGTAACATGGTAAAGACCTGCAAATCCCTTTTTAACAAGGCTACCTGAACCCAGTGACCATGTTCAAATAATTGAAAATACAAAGATGACTAGTAGATCTGTTGCTGATAAAGTCAAGGGTTGCAGAAAAGAGTGAAATGTTTTCTGGGGGTAGAAGAGGGAAGAAAAATATTTTTAACACAATAGCTAAGCAGCACTAAAAACATGTATTGAATTCAGGAGTTTAATTTTAAATCATGATCAGGTCTTTTGCAAAAAGAAATATTAACTATAACATATGGCTACCCAACAATGGCATTCCCCCTTAAGACAATTTTCATGTCAGAACTGCAACCAAATGTGGGCATTACAATGGAAATAATGAAACACTCTTATATCCCTCTTATTGGTTTTTGGATTGCTGTATTGCAAGCGCTTGCCATTTAGTGAAAGAAATAAAAGCAGGTATGGAAAATGAGCTTTAACAAGGAAAGAGATGGTTAGGCGGCAGTGCTAAGCATATTTACCTGGAAGTAATGTCAATTAAACTCCACAGGACTTACTCTTAAGTAATCATGCATAGCACTGCACTGCAAGTTACTGTAACCCTCTGAGCAAGCTCCTGCATTTCGCTTCAGGATATTGTTTCTTCCCCTTACCCAAGAATCACTGTGTGCATAATGAATGAAAGAGGGGAATTAAATCAATTAGATGAAAATTTGGGAACAGACTAACTTGGCTGCAGATCTAGATGTCATTAAGATTTAAAGTGGCATGTTCATTATGCAAGGAGGATGCTACTTAACATATCCACATCTCTAAAATTGCAGCTGTATCCCACATATGTAGGGTGGGCCACCATGCATTCCACCCTCAGAAGAAAAAGCAGCAACAAAATTAAGGCAGGAGAGCACACAGATTTGCATTCAATAATATATATTGATTTATCTATTAGAAATAATGACTATAAAACAGAAATAAAATACAGTTCATCCTAATATATGAGCAGGCGGGTTGTGTATCTGTCCATTGGGTTGTGCAGGTTCCTACTAGGAAGATCTAGAGGGAGTGAAAGTTACACATGGGATCTTGTCAGATGTGCCACCAGAACAAAGGTGTCGCACTTCGTCCTGCCGTTGTGGGTGTGGGGACCGGTTGCCCTGTGCCCCTCTCTGTCGTGGCTTTCCCCTTGCCTCGTCACATGGGGGAAGTCTTTTTTTGTAGCTCTACCCATCTTTCCAGAGCCCCCGGTGGTGCAGTGGGTTAAAGCACTGAGCTGCTGAGCTTGTTGACCAAAAGATCACAGGTTTGAATCCGGGGATTCGAACCAGCCCCAGCTTCTAGCAGTTCAAAAACATGCAAATGTGAGTAGATCAATAGGTACCGCTCCAGTGGGAAGGTAATGGCGCACCATGCAGTCATTCCGGCCACATGACCTTGGAGGTGTCTACGGACAATGCCGGCTCTTCAACATAGAAATGGAGATGAGCACCACACCCCAGAGTCGAACACGACTGGACTTCATGTCAGCAGAAAACCTTTATCTTTACCTTTACTACCCATCTTTCCATATGGAAAGATGGAGAGTCTGCCGTTGGCCACCATTTTTTGGGTGGCGGCAATGGGAGTTTTCAACTTCAGCCACAGAGCTGCCCCAGAAGTAGTTCTCTGGGGTGTGATGGAAGCCACTGGGCTCTGCAGATGTTGTAAACTCTTGTCGCCGCTGCTGAAGAAAGGTAAGTGTGAAGAGGCCCTAACTCAGTATATTGATGTTCCCACATTGAAATTCTCTCTTAGAAAGATGCACAGAAATACCAGAAGTAATTGGTAACAATTCTTATAGTCTAATGGAAGCTGAGGTTTTACATCTTTAACCTTATCTGCCAAAGACTGCAGGTGCCTCACTAAACTACAAATCCTAGGATTCAATAGCACTGAGCAATGGCAATTAAAATGGTGTTAACGGCATTAATTCAATAGAGTAGATGTATCCTAAGTTTAACTGAGGATATTATGCTACATTATTTCAGCATAATATATTCTGCATTACTCTATATTTTAGCTTGAAACATATAATATTCTTTTCATCTGATTATGGAAAGAAAGGTTCTGCTGCCATTTAAATGGTAAAAATTCCAGTAACAGTGGTATATATGAGTCAAAGGACAAGGTGGCCTGCTCTCTGTATTGCAGATATAGAAAGTCATTGAACTGGAGCTAAATTTTCAGTCAATGTCAACATGAATGACAGGACAGCACTTTCATTGCACCAAGGACAGTAAGCTTGCTTAGGAAGCAGAGAGTAAGACAACTCTGTCCTCCAACATCTTTCAGCTGTTCTGTACTTCCCAGCTTTTGCTGCTGGTAGTGGCTACTGCACTCTGCATAGAACTTCACAATATTCTTCTGAAAATCAATTTGAGTTATGGGCTCAGAATCACATAAGGCAGTCATGTGAGTCAGCATTTTAACCATGTGATGTTCTCCCCCCACCATTTTATGAGGATCTCTCTTTGCCCTCCCAAAGTACAGTGGCTACTTCGTGGTTCACTTTTAGTGGGCTCGCTGTTCACGTTTTTTTAAAAAAAACATTAATATAAAATATTTACATCCAGTGGAGGCCAGGGACCCCAGAAGTGCGGCGTCCTGAGGCTCGGTGAGGAAGGCCTGCCTCCTTGGCTTCCACAGAGCCTGGAAGTGCAGTGGCTTGAGGTGCGGTGGAGAAGGCCTGCCTCCCTGGCCTACTGCTGCCTGTGTGGCTCTGGAGGCTCTGTCAGGGTCTGCGGAGGCCAGGGAGGCAGGCAGGTGCCCTTGGGATGGGTCGGGAGACAGGTAAGGAAGCATGGGAAGAAAATAATATATAAAATAATGTATAAATATTAAAATTAATATAGCATCCCTACTTTATGGATTTTCACTTATTGTGGGTGGTCCTGGAATAGAACCCCCACGATAAATGAGGGAACACTGTATAGAAGGGACTGCAATATCATACTGTTATCAAGATGACTATATAGTTTTTGCAACCTACCTATATGTATAGACCACCCTTCCCAAGACTTTTAAATGAGTTAGCATATGTATCTGCTAGATGGAAATTAATGGGATTTTGGGTCCCCAAATCTGCCTTCAACAATTTTATGGCATTAGCAGTTGCCTTTTCTGCTACTAGTTTTCCTATTTTCAGCTAACATTCCCCCCTTGTAAGGAGGCAACCCAAAACAATTTCAACTCTGGAAAAGGAGTAGGATGCAATGCTGGAAATCTAACTTGAGGCCCAATTTACTTGTATTTTACACTTTGTATTTTACTGTATATTTTGAAAGAAGCACCACAGGTTTCGGACTTGGGCCCAGTTCTGTTCAACATCTGTATTAATGACGTGGATGAAGGTTTAGAGGGTGTGCTTATCAAGTTTGCAGATGACACCAAATTAGGAGGAACAGGATCAGAACTTAAAATGACCTTAACATATTAGAGAGTTGGGCCAAACCTAACAAAATGAATTTCATCAAGGACAAATGTAAGATACTACAATTAGGCAAAAAAAAAAATGAAATGCAAAAATACATGTTGTGCCTGGCTCGACAACAGCCCTTGTGAGAAAGATCTTGGAGTCTTCATGGAAAACAAGTTGAACATGAGCCAACATTGTGATGTAGCAGCCAATGGGATATTGATCTGCATCAAAAGGAGTGTCTAGATCCAGGGAATTCATAGTGCCTTTGTATTCGGCTTTGGTTACACCTCACCTGGAATACTGTGTCCAATTTTGTGCACCACAGTTCAAAAGAGATACTGACAAGTGGGAAGGTGTCCAGAGGAGGGCAGCCCTAGCCAGCCCTGTGCAGCGAGTCCTCTGCTCCCCTACTGGGCTCTGCCTTCGTGTTGCCAACTTGG